TCTCCTCAGCCATACCTAGGAATGGTCTGGATTAGAAGGATTCGGAGGGATGGTCTTGTTAGAGGAAGTGTGTCACTGGGGTTGGCCTTTGAGGTTTCAAAAGCCCACACCATGACCGGTTCTTCAGCTTCTGTCTCTCTCTTTCTCTCAGCCTGTGGATCAGGATGTAGCTCTCATCTCTACTGCTCCAGCACCATGCCTGCTACCATACTCCCAGCCACGATGCTAATGAACTAAACCTCTGAAGCAATAAGCAAGTCCCCAGTTAAATGCTTTCTTTTGTAAGAGTTGTCTTGGTTATGGTGTCTCTCCATAGCAACAGAACACTGACTAAGACCATGTTGAACAACTGTAATTACCCACTTGCAAGGGTAGAAGCAGAAGGTTCAGGAGTTCAAAGTCAGCCTCAGCTGCAGCAGGAGTTTGAGGCTGGCTTAGGACAGATGAGACACTAACGCAAGAAAACAAACAAAAAACTAAAGGACTATAATATATTTGTTAGGTATAGTCTTTTCTTGTTTTTGAGGAACTCCTTCCTGTGTCAAACAGGCTTCTTTGTCAACAGAGGCCCAGGGAGGGAAGGTGCCATGGTTTTCAGTCCAAACAGGCTCAGTTGACCGCATGGCTTTGACTTGAGCTCCACAGCAGCCAGATGCCACCTCCCCCAGCCATGCTTCAAGGCTGTTGAAACTTTCTATGGCCTAGCTCCTGGGCAAGGTTAGGCTTCTCTTCTGGACACCAGCATCACGTGGTACATTTGTGGTATGTTTCTGTCCAGAGGTCTCAACACTCCTCTGACTGTCAGGGTTGAGGAAGCATCACACTTAGCTCCCCACGGGGAATTCTTCTTTGTTCTGTCTCCAGGCAAGGCCCCAGGTCTCTTCCTGTATGTGTGTCAATAAGAGCTCAGGGGGGCATAACCCTAGAAACTTGTGAGGTGGAGTCAGGAAGACCACAAACTCAAGGACAGTATGGGTGGCTTAGGCAGACCCTATTAAAACAACAAAGAGAAAACTAAAAGACAACAAAGCCCACTGAGGGTGTAGCTCAGTATAGAACGTTTGCCTGACACACATGGCCCATCCTCTTGCCCTTGGAGTCCTGACTCACCCAGTTGCATGTGTTGCTCTAGGCAGCTGGGAGCCCAAGACAGGCATCTCCAGAGAAGGAAACAGTTAAGAGCAATGTGGTCCTGCACAGTATGCCTTGCAGTGGACACGGAAGAGAATGTAACTGAACCCCAGCCCCTGAGATGGCATCTTCCATGTGAACTCGGATGAACAGCACCCGGATGCTGCTCTCGGGTCCCAGATGGTAACTGCTATAGTCGCCTCCATCCCTGGTCTTCTGATTCACAGGCTGTCTACAGTCTCTCTAGGACCCCGTGATCTGGTCCAAGCCTGGTCTTTGGGCCTCTGTGAGTCATCACCCTCTTTATACCTTTACACTGCAAGGAACAGGGTGAGCTCCCTCCCTGAGCGCCTTTGAAGCCAGACACTGGCCTCACCCCGGAAGTTCCATAGACTATCTCCAGCATGCTCCTTGATACTGCCCTCCCTGGCCCAACTCTCGCTTCTTTCTTCCCAGGCTTTGTGGCTTCGAGCTCTGGACTCCAAGGCTATGGCTCTTCTGACAGAGAGCCAGTCACTCTAGGAGTTATCATGGGGATCAGGTAGAGCTGCAGAACTCACCACATCCAGGCTGTTTAAGCAGTCAATACAGGGGCCTCTTAAACCCTCTGTGTTGAGGGGTTCTTCAGCTTCATTCTGGCCGGTCTTGGCACTAACCCTGTGCTCTAGGCCTTTGCCTTCATCTTTTGCCCGCAGGGAGTTCGTCTGTTACCCAGAAGCCAGGAGCAGTTGGTTGAACTTTTATATCAGAGCCAGGGAAAAACAAAAGGTAGTATACTTTAGAGCCAAGCTCAGAACGGACCCACGTCACATGCCTTTGGAGAATGCACTTTGCTTTAACAAACCATTTCTGGGAAAGGGTAATAGGCAGAAAAAGCAGCCATTAGAGTTTTATTTTCAGCTACCGATGACAGTAACCACTGCAACTGAGCAGAGCTTGCCTCTTGTCAAGGTGAGAGTAAGGTGCCCAAAAGGGTTCAGCCAAAAGGAATCATTGCCAGCGTGGGTCCTACTGATTGATGGTGCATTATTAGGAGAGGGCAGCCAGGGAGAATAGCCCTCCAGGTAGACTCCCGTGGGATAGCACATTGTCAGGAGGATGCAGGGGTTGGACTGGGCAGGTTGAATCTGGAGAAGGTTATCCACCAAGGGGAGGCCCAGATGAAACGTGTGAAAATCATACCTTCCTTGGAGAAGTTGTGGCACGGGCCTCTGTATGGATGAGGGCAGGGACAGCTCCAGTGTGCCATGATACTTAGGGCCAAAGGCAGGGAGGGAGTGGCAGGGTAGGTTGAAGGCTAGACTGTTTTTTCTCTACACCCACCCCAGGGTTACCCAGCCCCCTACCATGCTGTCTCTCTCCCACCCAAGGCTTGACCTACCATTGGTTTTCAGGCCCCATGTGTGCCCAGGGCTCTGCCAGAGCATTAAAGAGGAGTCGGGATCTGAAGAGGAAACCATCTGGAGACAAGAGTGATTCAGAGAGTGTTATCTGATGACCCAGAGATGAAAGGATGGGGGGGGGGGGCAAGCCTGGGGTGCTGGGGTGCTCGGTGTGGACACTCAGAGGGCCTTGAGCCCTTCCAGAGCACAGTCTGTATTCCCAGGTGGGAGAGAAACAAGAAACGGAAGCTGAAGAAGGACACCAAAGGTGCAGTGACCAGTCTGCAGGCCATGGGGCTTGACAGGAACAAGACAGCATTTGGCTTCCAATCAGCTCACTGGCAGCTGGAGTCCTGTGGAAACACTTGCCCCTCCCCCACCCCTTCAGCTGTCTCCTCTGTGAGAATCAATAGAGGGCCACAGGAGAAGGACGACAGCTGAGCTTTGATGATTACCCAGACCACTCTGGCTTAGCGGGGTGAGCCCAGGCAGGACTGGGGAGCTAGGAGGAGTTATAGTGCCAGCCAGGGTGTAAGTTTGTAAGCACTGTCAAGCTGTTTCAACACCCCCTGCTTCTACTTTTGGAATACTAGAATTATTTCTGTTTGGGGTGTGTGTGTTTGAAACAGAATCCCACATAGCTCAGGCTGGCAATATACCCACTATGCAGATGAGGCTGGCTTTGAAGTCTTTGAAGCCCTTGCCTCCTTCTCCCAAGTGTTGGGATTACTCCACCCATTTTGTTTTGTAGAGAAAAGGTCTCATTGTATAACCTAGGCTATTCTCAATTCTCACAGTCTTCCTGCCTCATAGGGAGTCCAAGGCCAGTCTGACCCCACCCCCACCCAGAGTATGAGGATTACAGGCATGTGTCACCACACCCTGCTTTTTAAATCTTTATTATTTATTATTATTATTTATTATCTCACTTTGTAGCCCCTCTGGCCTGAAACTCACTATATAGACCAGGCCTGCATCGCCACACCTAGCCATCACCCTCTGTAGTGCATCTGGCCTGTTCTTGGGTTTGAATAAAGTTTCATTGCCACTTTTACAAATCTGTGTCTTTATTTCAATTCCCTGAAAAAGGATCAAGAACCTGGAAACACCTGGTCCATACCCTGACCACTGGTAAACCTTGGGATGCTGAGGCAGGAGGTCTGTTATGAGTTCAAGAGTTACATAGTGAAATGCTATTTAAAAAAAAAATAAAATGAAGTTGGGAGGTGGTGGCGCACGCCTTTAATCCCAGCACTCGGGAGGCAGAGGCAGGCGGATCTCTGTGAGTTCGAGGCCAGCCTAGTGTACGAGAGCTAGTTCCAGGACAAGCTCCAAAGCTACAGAGAAACCTTGTCTTACAAAACCGATAATTAAATAAATAAACAAAAATAAAATGTACATATATATTATTTTCTCCTCAAATGGCTACCTATTGTAGTCAACGTTGGCTTTGAAATCTTAGTGCTCTGATCTCTGAGATTACAGTTATGTGTTACCATGTGTGTTTATATGTGTTAATTAAATTTTTTAAAAATACAAGATCTTTATTGGTTCTGTGCTTTGAAAATAGCTTCCACAATATTTATTTAATTCTTATGTGTTCGGGTGTTTTGCCAACATGTATGTTTGTGGAGCACCTGGTACTCAGGGAGGCCATAAGAGGGCATCAGAGATCCTGGAACTGGAGTTACAGACCATTGTGAGCTACCGTGCTCTTAATCAATGCACCATCTCTCCCGACTCTAAGTAATTATGTTTATGTGTGTTCATAAGCTTGTATGTGGAGATCAGAGGGTAACTCTGTGGATTCATTTCTCTTCTTCCATCTTTACGTGGGTCCTAGGGATTAAAGCCGGGTAGGCAGGCTGGGCAGCCAGTGCCTTATAAACAGAGCCTTCTGGCTAGCCCAGCTATCTAACAGAGCCAATTCGCTGGACCACTTATTTGCTCTTTTGAGACAAGGGTTTGACATCAGTGATTTATGTACAAAGATACTTGTAACAAATTTAGCAACAACCTCTGATCGATTGCAGATGATACGATTCATGAAGGCCCTTGAGTTGCTGGAGAATGCCCAGGAAATGACGTTGAGAAAGGATGGAGCCAAGGAGGTAAAGGAATCAGAAAGGAGGGTGGGACCCAAGGATTGCAGAGTCAGGGACACGAAGGAGTAAAGGGGATGAACCTTTCCGCTGGTGGGTGTGGGCCCGACAACCCCAGGATGTCAGGATACGCGAGCACGCAAAATACAGGAAGAACGCAGAGTCCTGAGCCATCCCAAGTCTCACCTCCACAGTGCAAGGTTTCTGGGACGAAATGCTATGAGTCAGGGCTATACCAGCAGGAGGTGACCACAACAATGGGCTAGGGCCAAACTAGTGACGAAAGATGGACTAATGGGCGAGGGCTGTAGTAATGGGTGAGAGCCGGACTAACGTCGAACGCTGCTGCGCAGTTAGAAATTCTTGGCTGAATAATCCAGTTAGCGTCAATGAAGAGAAGGGCATTTCCATTACCTCAATGGGGCAGAAAAGAACCTTTAAATAAATGTCCCGGCTTCTTCCGCAGGGTGTCAGATCAAATACTGCGAAGTGAGTGGAAAGACGTCAGTAAACCATACCCAGGATCCAAAATCCAGGATGCTCCATCCGAAAAGCTCCATCACTACTGGCTCCGTCCCCTTCAAGGTAATGAGCCCGCCTCTCACGCCGATTGATCAAGCGGTCCACTCGCTGCTGCGAAGGTAATATCCGGATAAGCGGAATTTGTCAAAGGAATGGATCGCTCTCATGGCCCTACTGCGCATGCTCTCCCCGTGACCCCAGCTTGAGGTGACGGCGGGAGCCAAGGCGGGGTCCCAAAAGCACTGAGGCTGAGGGACCCGCCACAGCTCCGTCGTCCGAGAGGCTGGGCCTGCTGCCGTCGGTGAGGACGGGCCCCAGCGGGCGGGAGGGTTCCAGCCCGCGAAGCTACTCCCGACCTGGCTGTCCCGGGATCAGGGATTGGTGCTAGGAAAGGGTCCCTGGTTCTGCCCCTCTCCTTGCCTGCCATCTGCAAGGCTCTTCCTTTCTCCATGCTTCCCTTTGACTAACCCACCCTACCCCTGAACCGAACCTGAACACCCCCAATCTGGGACCCCGCCCTCCTAATGCTCACCTACCCCAATCTGCCTGGTACACACCCATCCTTAACCTCTGCAGTTTTGTCGCATCTGTCCTGAGGGTTCTTGTCCCAGTGGCAGAATTTGAGGGCTGGAAGCTGGGGAGATGCTTTAGAGACTGGGGTGGAGGGCATTGGTGGTAGGGGAGCAGGGAACTGGGGCGTTTTAGGCTCAAGACCCGATGTGTTGGCCAAGGGTGGTGGAAGGTATCATTCTGAGTCAAGGTAATTAGGAGACAGGAGAAACTTTGCTCTGCTCTACATATTATTCAGTTCTTGGCCTTTTGGGAGGTTCACTGCCTTTTCCTTCTGTCTCCCTGTGAGAATATGCCCTGCACGCCCCAGCCTCATATCATTCCCTAAGCAGTCCTCTCACACGTCCTCCATGACTGGCAGGACACTGACTATGGGAACAGCTGTTGGCATCCTGACTTCAATGACTTTCCCCTTCACCTGATGCTAGCAACTCCAGATCAAACCAGCCCAGAGAGGGTAAGGAGGTCTGTCCTTCTCTTGGGACATTGCTGGTTCACCCTCATCTTGATGAAGGTAATTCTATTGAGCACCCCAAGATAACAAGAGAAGTTCCAAACCTCTAAAGCCTTGTCAGTAAGAGTTTGGACCTTAATTGTTTTATGGCCACCATAACAAATCGCCACCAATCTAGTGACTCAAAATAACACAACTTCATCTTTGTACATTTTAGAGGCCAGATGTGGGTGCTGGGAACCAAATCCCCATCCTCTGGAAGAGCAGAAAGCCCCTGACCACTGAGCAATCTATCCTACCCTGTTTCTTCTGTTTGATTTGGGGGAGGGAGCCGGAGTGTGTTTATGCCTGTGGCTGTCAGAGGACAGCTTGTGGGAGCTGAATCTCCTACCAGGTGCATCATGGGATGGAACTCAATTCTTGAGGCTCAGTGGAAAGCACTGTTGCCTGCTGAGCCATCTTGATAACCCTTGTTTTGGAGGCAGGCTCTGGATAAGTAGATTTGACTTGAACCCTAGTCCTCCTGCTTTAGCCTTCCTACTGCTGGGATGGTAGGTGTATGCCGTGACACCAGCCTCAAGGGCCTGGGACCTGGACATCTCAGGGGTCATTATTCTGCCTCTCACAGATGATGATGTGTGAATGCCTCCCACTCATTGTGTGCTCTTGGGTCTTGAGCCGTTTTTGCTCTTCTGGTCTCCTTGGTCATGACCAAGGTCATGCGGGTTGCTTCACTAGGCAAGCTCTCAACCGGGCTACACCAACTCTTCACTTTTTTGGGGGGTAGTGGTGTGGGTCATTGTGTGTGTGGTATGTGTGTGGGGGTGTACACTGCTGTACACATGCAGAAGCAAGAGGAGGATGTTGAATGCCCCCTGCCCCCTGCCCACTGCCCACCTTATTCCCTTGAAACAACGCCTCTAACTTGAACCGGAAGCTCACCATTTTAGCGAAGCAGATGGGTCAGCCAGCAAGCTTCAGGGACTGCAGGGATCTGAATGTCTCCGCTTCCAGTGATGGGCTTAGGCATGTATGGCCAGGCCTGGCTTTTTCATGGTGCTGAGGACTTGAACTCAGGTCCTCAAGGTTGTACAGCAAGTGCTTTTTTCTTCTTGAAGTTGGAATGCATGACAGTCTTGCCACTTCACTCTCCTTAGTCTGGGATTTTAGGTGTGAGCCACCACACCTAGCTTCACTTAGCTATTTATTTAGTCATTCATTCATTCATTTTGTTTGAGACTGGGTCTCGCGTAGCCCAGGCTGATCTTGAACTCCTGGTCCTCCTGCTTCACCCTCATATGTGGAAGATCTAGTCTGAGGCTGTTTATCTCTAAGTAGAAGACTAATAAAAAAAAATTACCTTTCAAGTAAATGTATCCTATCTTTTAAAATGTTAAATGTGTGTCTACTGCAAAAAAAAGAAAGAAAGAAAGAAAGAAAGAAAGAAAGAGTTCGTGGATGTTACAGTTTGAGAGGGTGGTCTGGAGAGATGGCTCAGCAGTTAAGAGCGCCCACCACTCTTTCAGAAGCCCCAAGTTGGGCTCCCAGCACCCATGTTGGGCAGCCCGCAACCACCTGTAACTTCAGCTCCAAGTGACCCGACACCCTCTTCTAGCCTCAAAGGGCACCTGCTCATGTGGCATTCACTCTCACAGACACACATAAATAAAAATAGTAGAAATAAATCTTTTTTTTTTTTAATTTTTTATTTATTTATTTATTTATTATGTATCCAATATTCTGTCTGTGTGTATGCCTGCAGGCCAGGAGAGGGCACCAGACCTCATTACGGATGGTTGTGAACCACCATGTGGTTGCTGGGAATTGAACTCAGGACCTTTGGAAGAGCAGGCAATGCTCTTAACCTCTGAGCCATCTCTCCAGCCCCGAAATAAATCTTTTTTAAAAGGTTGTGAAAGGTGGGATTGTGAACAGCAAAATCACCCATTCTCATCATCATCCCGAATTCATCCCAGATCATGGGCACCACCGTGTAGTGTTGGCAGATTTGAAGGGCATTAGCCAGACGTTTTGTAGAATAACCGGTAATGCGGGGCTGAGGTTTCCTGGGATCTCACAAAGGTGAAGGCCTCAACACAGCTCAGCGCTGTCACCTCACATCTGTGTGACTCATTGCAAATAATGTTGACTCTGATCACCTGGTGGAGGTGATGTATGAGCCCCGTGGTTCCTATTATCATCCCTGTTTCCTTGGGAATGAGTCACTAAGTGACAAGGGAGAGGATTTAAGGTCGTCTCAAGGAGGAACATCCTCTTTAGAATTCTGTTAGCTTGAGACAGGGTCTGGTTTAGCCTGACCTGGCCTTGAACCCTGTATATGGCCAACGGTGACCTTGAACTCCCAGTGCTGAGATTATGGTCATGTGCTACCATAAAAGGTTTATGTGGCATTGGCACTGGAACCCATGGTTTTGTGCATGCTGGACAGACATTCTCCCAACTCTGTTCCCAGCCCTGGAACTCATGAGGAAGACTCGGGCCCTCTCCAGTGTATACTGTTATTTATATCTTTATGGACTTGTGGATGTTTATTTTATTCTTAGGGTTATAATTCTATCCGCTTAAGGGTGGACTCTCTCTGTGGAGAGCTTTTCTTACTGGAATTGGCTCTTGGCCAGTGGGCCTGGGTTCCAGTCCTGACCCTCACCAGCTGTGTGGTACTAAGTGTCCAAGGTTACCTCCCCAGGGGCAGAGTGGGATGGTGGTCATACTTGGGAGGGACATCATTGGGTTCCTGTAATGAAGATCAAGATTGACATCAGGTCTCGACTTGGACTGCTCTGTGCTGGACTTGGCAAGAAGATAGGGCAGGGTACCCGACCACTCCCTCACACCATTTCATCCAAGAGGTTTCTGGGTCTCTCTGTTGTGTGTTTGCATGTATGGCATAGTGTACGTATACATGTGACATACCGTGTGTATGTGTGTCTGCAGGTGCTCTCATGTGCAGGTGCAAGTCAGAGGTTGGTACTGAGTATCTTCCTCGATACTATCTTCCTCGAGGCTAAACACACCAGGCTTTCTTTTTTACATATATTTGTTTATTATGTATATAATATTCTGTCTACATGTATGCCTGCAGGCCAGAAGAGGGTACCAGACCTCATTACAGATGGTTGTGAGCCACCATGTGGTTGCTGGGAATTGAACTCAGGACCTTTGGAAGAGCAGGTAATGCTCTTAACCACTGAGCCATCTCTCCAGCCCCCACACCAGGCTTTCTAAGTGCATGTTGGTATCCAAGCTTGGGACTTGCACAGCAGGACTTTGTTAACTGAGCCTCTGGGTCTCTTCTGTCTTTGTCAACTTGGGTTCTAAGTCTGAAACAAGATCTTTTCCTCCCTGTGCTATGGATTGACCACTTGAATGCTAGGCAAGTGTGCTGTGTTCCTGAACTATATCCCCAGTCTAAAACTAGGATTTTTTTTTTTGACAAGGTCTTTTTATATAGTCCTGGATGTCCTGGAACTGGAACTTTTTATATAGACCCGGCTGGCCTCAAACTCATAGATCTGCCTGCCTCTGTTTCCTGAGTGCTGGGTTTAAAGGCTTGTACCGTCATGCCTAATCCTAAATTTTAATGTGCTTGATTTTATTCTAGTGATTTGTATTAATCTTTGTTTGTTTGCTTGTTTTTGAGACAGGGTTTCTCTGTGTAATAGCCTTGGCTGTCCTGGAACTTGGTTTGTACACCAGGGTGGCCTCACTCGCGGAGATCCACCTGCCTCCTGAATGCTAGGATTAAAAGATTGTACCACCACTGCCCAGCGATTTGTAGTAATCTTCTTTACTTGCTGTTTAACTTTTTTTGAGGTTCCAGGGATCTAACTTAGGATCTTGTGCATGCTATGTGAGCACTACCACTGAGTCCAGCTTATATGTATTTTCTTTGCTGACACTTGCGTTGCACAGGAGACCCTTTTCTTCTGAGTAATGGACTACTGGGAAAAATTACCTTGTGAATAAATATGACTCATCTTTTTGTAGATGTTAACTCTGTTGCCACTGGGGGCATAGGAATGAGTTCATGGCATAGTAAAACAGTGAAGGGTGAAATCGCTCATTCCCACCATCACCCTAAGCTACATCTCAGATCCATTTGGTAGCACCCCATCCTCCCCCACTGACTGCTTTGCCTCCTCCCTTAGGACAGAGCCCCTGGACTCCCGGGTTCCTGGCCAGGGAGGAGGAGGAGGAAAAGGAGAGACCTATCTGCTAGGGCGACGTGGCCTGAGAAACAGGCTGCTGGTCCTGGGATGCTCCAACCCAAGCCCAGTGAGCAGGAGGGTGAGAGCATGAAGGCCAGCCAGGAGCCAGCTCCCCAGCCTGGCACAGATGTGGTCCCAGCAGCCCCCAGGAAGCCCAGAAAATGCTCCAAACTGGTCCTGCTGACAGCTTCCAAAGACAGCGCCAAAGTGGCCGCGGCCAAACGCAGAGGAGTGCACTGCATCATGTCCCTGGGGGTGCCAGGCCCCGCCACCCTGGCCAAGGCCCTCCTCAAGACTCACCCCGAGGCTCAACGGGCCATTGAAGCAGCCCCCCAGAAGCCCGAACAGAAGCGCAGCAAGCTGGACCTGGGTGAGGCTCCTGTAGCTGGCGCTGCCCCCTCAGAGATATGGTCCCTTTCAGAGCTGCCATAGGCAACTGGCTCCAGTTCTGAGAGTCCCCGCTCTTCCCTTTGCTGTCACGATCCCTGCTCCTCTACTTTTCTGAGCACAGGTGGGAGGTAGAGGGCTCAGGGGTTATAGGTGCTGCTGGGTACTCCTTGAGGAGCCAAGTAGCCTTGTCCCTTAGAGTTCCCTCTGCATGACCTGCATGCCTTGCTTCATTACAGGAGTGTCGGAGGTTGAGGTGGGCCTGCTGCCATGCATGTCCATGCTGGAGGCTGCTGGTGACTCTCAAGGTCTTGGCTACACACAGGTGTTTCCCAAGGCCTGGGCTTCTTGGGCACCTGCCACATGTTCCACAAGCATTTCACAGCCGGTACAAAAAGTACCGACATTTCTTTAGTCGGACAGTTTACCCATTGGTAGACCTGCAGTTCTGTGTTCACTGAGTGCTGGGCCTCAAGGCCAACAGAAGCTGTGGGGACCCCCCCCCCCCTCCCTGTCCCTTCTGACCCAGCCTTACTCACACTGAAGCCACCACAGCGGACAGAACAGGGCTCCAGGACACTGTCGGGGCAGCAGAGAAGTAGCCTTGGAAGTTGCAGGCTGATGAGGGTCCAAGGCTTGCTGGGAAAGCTCAGTGCCCTCTGCTCTTGTTTGCAGTGAAGAGATGATGGGAGGCCATGGGTAACTCGAGCCTCACCCCTTACCACTCCACCATGGCTGTGCACCTTCCTCAAGTGTGACTGGGTGGGTGGTGACCGGTGACAGCAAACTGTCCCTCTCGCAGTACTCGGCTCAGGCTGGCCTCAAGTCAGATTCTTGGGACCTGTGGTTATCTCAGGCCTCCCTGGGAGTAGTGAGGTGGCAGTAGCAGAGGAATTCGCTGGGGACAAGCAAAAGAGGGCTGGCAGATACCCTTTCAAGGACTCAGGATGGTACAGGAGAACAGCAAGTAGCCAAGTTTGGAGTACTCAGTATCAGGACATTGGGGTGGTGGCCACAGGAGCACTTAACACAAGTTAAAGACTTGAGACTTGGTCTAGGATGTGGTGCACATGCCAGTACACAGACATAGTCCCCAGCGTCACCAGAGCTGAAAGGAGAGCCCTAGGCACCAAAAGCACCTGGAGGTCCAGGGAGGGTGACAAGACAGCTTCCTGGGTGGAGCTGGAAGTGCCCCAACCTGGGTGTCTTACTGTGCGTGTGTATGTTGTGCCCATTACTGTATGTGCTCTGTGTATGGTTGTCTATCTGACATTGTCTCTCTTGTCCCTTTGTATGACTTTTACCATGAGAGTGGGTGGGTGTTAGTCTGAAGCAGTTTCCCTTCCCCACTAGGCTTGGAGCAGGTGATGCTGCAACTCAAACAAACCTTTAGGGATGCTCAGTGGCAGGGAGAAGATAAGTGAGCTGATCTCTCCCGACAGAATAGCATCTGGCAGGCCCTGAGATGCTGAGGATGAGAAAAGCCAAGTCCTGGGCCTCCATTTTCTGCCTTTTCACAGACGGCCCCTTGGGATCAGCCATGCACTCGCTGAGGAGGAAGACAAGAAAGCTCCTGTGCCACCGTCAGTTAGCTAGGGCCAGGGACCCTGCCACAGGGGTAGGGATGTAAGGGGATAGCCTAAGGTTGTAAGGATTCATAGTCCTGCTCCCACCCCCACCCACAGAAGCTAAAATCTCAGGAAAACTAAGATGGAGTGACCATGGCTACAAACCTGGAGTTCTTTGGGGACCCTGAGGACCCTCAACCCCAGCTGCAGCTGGAGCAGTGCTGAGGAGTCAAGAAAGACTTTGGTGTGCTGACTCTCTGCTCCCCCTAGTCAGTCCTGCTCTGGGCGCCTCCCTGTCCCCCAACCTGGTTCCCACCAGCACGGGGGCAGAGGATGGGTCTGTCACTACACAGAGACCATCTACACAGAGGAGTGGAGTCTGGCTGGGATCCCATGCTTCCCACAGGACTGGGGTATGGGGACATCTTGTGTACCTTTCCAATCACAGGAGACCTTAGCTGCTTCCTGTGTAAGTGCAGGCTCTGCAGCAACATGGCTTCTGTGAGAACTGGGGCCAAACTCGCGTCTCCAGATGAAATGCTAAGGAAGGCTGGTACCCTTTCAGGGCTGTGCTGGGCAGCTGCTCTTGATCAGCTGACAATCCCCCGTCCATTGTTCCCTCACGCACACCTCCCTGTCTCTGCTCTACCCAGGGTCAGCTGGTGGCGACTCAGCCACTTCCTGCTCAGATGTTTCCTAGAAACGTTTGTGACCCTGACCTTCATGGCTTTTTAGGAACAGTATTTCCATTGTGGCAAGTACTTCTCTAAATCAGTTAAGAAAGGTATCTGGCCCCGTACTGACCCCTAAGAAGCCGCGGGTAAGGTGACTCTCACCTCACAGGAGAGCAGTGTGAGCGCGGGGCCAGCCTCCCCCAGTCTTCCTTTGCTCCTTGTTATCAGCCTGACCTATCTGCCTTTCTTCTCGAAGCAGGTGGCCCAGAAGACAGTGGAGAGTCTGAGGTGTCGTCTTCAAGTCCTGAGGGGAGCCCTGCGTTCCCTGAGGCACCCAGCCCTTCCCCTTAACCTTGGCAGCTGCTCCAGCCTGTGCTGCTCGCTGTATCAGTTACTTTTATAAGCAAGAAGGAAAAAAGGAAATAAACTGTCTGCTATTTCCCTCCATGGGTAGGTTTTTGTTGTTGCTGTTGTTTTTTTGTTCCAGGCAGGGCTTCACTGTATATAGTCCAGGCTGTTCTGGAACTTAGTCTGTAGACCAGGCTGGCCTCAGACTCAGAGACCCATCTGCCTCTGCCTCCCAAGTGCTGGCATTAACGACATGTGCCACCCCCTCCAGGCTAGGGCAGGTTTAAAACACTGGAGGATTTTGGGTTGTTGGAGACCCGCTCTGACCCCATCACTCTGGAGACTTCCTTTCTCCCCATCCTTCCCACCCCAGACTTGCCTGCTCTGAGCCCTTGGACTGGCAGAGTCTCTCTTGGGCCTCCAACCTGTAGCTTCACAGGTGGGCTACCGTGGCCTGGAAAACGAGCTCTTGGCAGAGTGGTTCCCAAGGCTTCGTCCCTGTGCTGCCGCTAGCCTGAAATGGTACCCCTGCCCTGGACCCAGGACAGCCTGGTCTTCATCACTGCCTGCCCCTTCCCTCTGCAAGAGGCATCAGGTTCCCTCTAGCCGAGGTTACCATAGGCCATTGTCCTTCCTAATCTAAGCCTGCTCCCTAGAAAAAGACCCTCAGACTGCTGGCTCCCAACATGGGACCCCAGCCTCCTCCCTACAAGTATCACTGAGGAAGGGCTGAGCCAACACCTGAGACTTGTCAAGGATCTGCCTGGGATCCTCACAAGAGTGCAAGGCCACCCAAGAAATCACACACACAGCCTGGACCCCTAACAAGAGTAGGATCCCTGGGGCATGCTGACCAGCCAGTCTAACCAAATCATCAAGCTTCAAGTCCAGTGAGATCCCAGTTTCAAAAAATAAGAGGGAGAGCATTTGTTAACTTCTGGCCTAAACACACACTCCCATCCCGCATCTCCCCCAGGCCTGAGAATAGAGCAAGGGAGAAGTGGGGCCAGAAGGGGGCAAGGCGACCCTGACCTTTGTGTGCAAACCCCTATATGTTTTCCTCCAGCCTGTGTATGTTTTCCAGTACTCCTAGATTTCCGCCGCCAAGACTCTGCCTCACAATTGCTCCCAGAGTCCAGATGGGGGCGCGCACTATCCGCGCCCTCCCGCTTCTCCGCGGTACCTGAGCGCCTCCTGGAGTGAGGTCTTGGATTACTGATTTCAGTCAGTACTGCTCGGCAGAATGTCAGAAACAAGGGCTTCTTAAGCACCAGACACAGAATGGCTTCTTGCATTCAAACAATGTATTAGATTTATTGCGCCTGCTTCCTGCCCCATCCCCACACCCGTAAGCTAACACTACCAGGGAAGGGTTCTTTGTCTACTTGGGCTCCTGAGTTTATTAGTATGGAGACCGTAAGGAGAGGAGCCTGCAGGGCCACGAACAGGCAGAGCATGAAAAGGAAAAATGGGACAGAGATTTGGTATTACCAAAACGCAGAGGGTTTATAGGTTCTGCCCATGTACAGTTCAGATGTGTGGGTCAGAGTAGCCCGCGGTGGGGGGACTTGCAGGAAGCTGGTGTCGCACCAACTCTGTTTTTTTTTTTTAAAATATTTATTTATTTATTATGTATACAATATTCTGTCTGTGTGTGCCTGCAGGCCAGAAGAGGGCACCAGACCTCATTACAGATGGTTGTCGCACCAACTCTGAAGTGAAGGGGGAGCCTGCTAATCCTGTGGTAAAAATCTGTGGTAAAAGCTGAATACGAGCCGGGCGGTGGTGGCGCACGCCTTTAATCCCAGCACTCGGGAGGCAGAGGCAGGCGGATCTCTGTGAGTTTGAGACCAGCCTGGTCTATAAGAGCTAGTTCCAGGACAGGCTCCAAAGCTACAGAGAAACCCTGTCTCGAAAAACCAAAAAAAAAAAAAAAAAAGCTGAATACGAGGCAGAACAAACAGTCCTCCCTGGGAGCAAGCCCCCTTCTGCCTCCTGGATACTAGGATTACCGGCGAGCAACCACCATGCCTGTTCTTAAACTTGGGCTTTTAAAGCAGGGCCCCTTGTGTCCTTGAGTTCCTGACTATTTTTCCACCTCCCAAGAAGCTAGGATTCAAAGTGTGGGTCATCACACCTGGCCAAACTGAGATTGTCTCAAAACCTACCTCTCAAGAACTGGGACGTGGCCACCATGCTCGGTTTTTTTGTTTTAAAATATTTATTTGTTGATTTATTTGTCTATTGGATTTTCGAGACAGAGTTTCTCTGTGTAGCCTCAGCTGTCTTGGAACTAGCTTTGTAGACCAGACTGGCCTCGAACTTACTGAGAGATCCACCTGCTTCTGCCTTCCAAGTGCTGGGAATAAAGGTGTGCGCTGCCACTGCCCAGC